TGGGTAACTGTAGTACTGATTTCTGATGTTCTATTCAGAGAAGCAGTTAGCAATTTTTTTTCTTTCGTTCTTCTTAAATTTTTTGACCAATTTTGCATGCATATATCTGGTAATCTGAACAACTAATTTGAAAACAACAATATGAAATATAACAATCATTGTTGTCTACCATATTGTCTAATGAAATTCTATACCATTTCTAATGTTTCTTTTTTATTTCTTATTCTCTTTACAAAATTTAAAAATAAATTTTAAAAAATAGGAATTCAACAATGGCTGTCATGCTGCATATTGTTGTCTTCAAATCAGATGCTCAGATTCCCAGATACAAGTAAGCAAAGTTGGTCAAAAAAATGAAGAGAAAAATAATTTAAGTATTAACTATTTCTTTCAATAGACCAGTAGAAATCAGCAGTACAATTATCCAAGCTAATCTACATATACACATGTATTTTTTCCTATCCTTCTGTCTTTCTCATTTCCCTCATGCTACTTGGTCCTTCCCTTTGAACAGATTCTCTTCCACAGTATCTACTGCACCTTTCAGATTTTATTTATTCTTTTAGCTTCTTATACTAGGGAGACAGTATGATGTTTACACATCAGAGTCTAATTTATTTCACTGATGAATATGGTCTCTAGTTGTATCCTTTTACGTATAAAAACCTAAAGTTTGTTTTTCATAGCTGAGTAATACTCACTGTATAAAAATAGCACAGCTTTTTATCCATTATTTAGTTGATGGGCATTTGAATTATTTCCAAGATTTAGCTATGACAAATTGGACTGCTACAAACATGGGTGCACATATATCCTTGTGATATGATGATTTCAGTTCTTGTGGATAAATACCCAGGAGGGGAATAGCTGGATTCAATAAGGCCTCTAATCCTAGTTTTCTAAGGAATTTCCACACTGGTTTTCACAGTGGTTATACCAATCTACACTCCCAGCAACAGTGGACAGGAGTTCCTTTTTCCCCACAGCCCTTCCAGCATTTGTTATTGGTTGACTTCTTGATGTTAGCCACTCTTTCTGGGATGAGAGAGAATCTCAGTGTTGCTTCAAATTGCATTTCTCCAATGACCAATGATGTTGAATACTTTTTCATACATTTATTTGCCATTTGTATTTCTTCATCTGAGAAGTGTATATTCATTTCAGTGTCCCATTTTTGATGGGTCTTTGAATTTGGGGACCTGATTTTTAAAAATTTATTCATATGCTTTAGATAGAAGCATTGTCCATTGTCTAAAGGACAGTCAGCTAAAATTTTTCCTAATATGTGGGTTTTCTTTTTAATCTCTTGGTGATTTTTGACATGTAGGAAATTTTAAAAAGATGAAGCATTTGCAGTGTTCTTTGGTAAAAAAGAGTTTATTTGTTCATGAAATCTCTGGTTACCCCTATTTCTTCACAATATCTACCTGCTTTCTCCTCCACTAGATATACTGTTCTTGTTTTAATATTTAAATGTTCAATCCATTTGACTTTAATTTAAAGCACAGTGATATACACGGGCATAATGTTAGCCTCTGGCATGTGGAAAGCTAATTTTTGCAGCACCATTTATTTAAAAGGCTATCATTCTTCCCATGAACATGTCAGGCTCCTTTGTCAAAGATAAGGCAACTGAATATGACTGAAGTTGTGCCTGCATCCTCTAATCTTTTCCATTGATCCTCAGGCCTGTTTTTTGCCAATACCATGCTGATTTTATCAGAGCAGCTTCCTAATGTAATTTCGAGTCAGGTATTGTGATATCTCCTGCCTTTTCTTTATTGCATAATATTCCTTGTGCTATTGTAGGTCTCTTTTGGTTCCAGATGAATTTGAAGAATGTTTTCTCTAGATATGTGAGGTATACTAATGGTATTTTAGTTAGGATTGCACTGAATCTGTATAACAATTTTTGGAGTACAGCCATTTTCATAATGTTGGTTCTTCCTATGCTGGAGCAACAAATATCTTTCCATCTACTGAAATCTTCTTTTATCTCTTTTTTCAGAGTACTATAATTTTCAGTGTATAGATCTTTTATGTCTTTTGAGATTAATTCCTACTTAATTTTCGTGGATGTTATTGTGAAAGGTATGGTTTCCTTAATTTCACTGTGTTTTTTTTAATACAGAAGTGCTATTGATACCGAGTATGGACTTTGTTTTCTGTTTGTTTGTTTGTTTTATTTTTTTAGGGAAGGGTCTACAAGGTATTTAGGATCTCACTACTAGATTAGACTCATAGCGATCCCCCTGTTTACATCCTCCCAAGAGCTGGGATTACAGGTATGTGCCACCATACCCAGGCTCAATCCCTGTCTCAGAGAGCCCCAGGGGCAGGGCCAGCAATGCAGACCTGAGGATCGAACCCTTGGCCCGTGCACCTGCTTGTAGACACTTTAATCCACTGAGCTATTTGGCCAGCCCTGAGTGTTGACTTTGTATTCAGCTGCTCTACTGAATTTGATAAGTGTAAAAATCTTTTAGTGGAATTTTTGGGGTCTTCTAGGTGACTATCATGTCATTTGCAAATAATGATAAATTCACTTCTTCTTTTCCAATCCTTATTTCTTCTATTTTTCTCTCTTGTCTAATTGTTCTGTCTAATGTTTCCAGAACTATACTGAATGGGAGTGGTTGACAGGAGGCATCCTAGTCTTGTTCCTAATTTTAAAGAAAAAGTTTTCAGCTTTTGTCCATGTTGGCTGTTGGTTTATCATAGATGGATTTTATCAGATTGAAGTACAGACCATATATTCCAATCTTCTGTAAGGTTTTTAACATTAATGAATGTTGGACTTTTCTTTTGCGGAATGGGGATTGAAATCAGGCACTTGTGCTTGAGCTATCTCCCCAGCCCCAATTTTTTTTTTAAGTTTCCAAAGTGGTTTTATTTATTTATTTGTTTATTTATTTTATTTTTTGGCAGAACTGGGGATTGAACTCAGACCCTTATGCTTGCCACGTAAGTGCTTATACTACTGAGCCATATCGATTCTATTTTTTGCTTCCAAAACCATGCTGGCTTACTGTTACCTTCCACTCATCTCTTGATTTTCTGTGTATTATAAAAAGTGACACTGTCCTGGAAGTAAAATTTATTTGGATTTGGGTGTGATTTAATCTTTCTTTAAAGATATAGTGACCTATCTATACAAGAGTTATGAGTTATGGGTATGGAACCTTACACTAATCCTTAATAGTCTTAGTTATTGATATGCTCTTTCTGACTACACTTAGGTCCAATTCATCAACTGGTAAAACTGTATCTGTGATACATATGGCATTTTGAGATGTTGGTGAAAGGTGGTACATGTGCAGGGAAGAAAGCCTTGCATGTAACGTTTGGATAGAAAGGATAAGTATTCATTTTGTTTACTTTTCTTTTGGTCACTGCCCTCATCTAAATCATCCCAATCAGATAATAACACATTCTGGTTTTGTAGTCCTCCAAGAAAAGAAGCCACTTCGAATCCTTAGGACAAACCCTGGATCTTTCTTTTTGGCACTAATGAGGTTGTAGTGATGATGATGATGATGATGATGATGATGATGATGATGATGATGATGATGATAAAATAAGTTACTATCTTCCATGTACCTTTTAAATATGAAGCACTATGATAGATATTTTATTCTCAGATGTGATCTCATTAAATCTGTATAAAAGTGAACTAGCCCTATTTTTCAGATAGCAAAAATAAAACCAGAGAGATTATATATTTTGTCAATATCAGTAGGGGCAGGAGGTCATAAAGGTACATCTCAGCTTATCTGATTCCAAATACCCTGCTTCTTCCTTCATATCACTCTGTTGAAATATAATCAATCTCCAAGAGTCTTCTGTTTGTGGTCTAGAAGACTCAGGCCCTGTTCTACAAGGGAATTCAACAAAATTAATCAGCTTTGTGGTCATAACACATCCTCATGTATCTTTGCTATTTGTCTTGTCATGAAGTAATTTTTACACTTTATCATATTCACTGTTGCAGCCCATGGAAAAAAAGAATTTCCAGTGCCTTTTTGTAGATGGAAAAAATCTAAGCTTACAACAAAGGACAAATTCCATCTCACAAACTCAAGGAAGTTCAAGAACTGGGACACCTATACAGTGTTCTTCTTCCACAGCATCCTATTAACTGCTGACTCAGAGGAAGAAGAAATTGCTAGAAACCACTTCCCAAGAGTACCACTGTTAATGTTGAGGTTCTTAATGGAAGAAATGCCAAGGCTTTGTAAGCCCTCACAGGCTACCTCCTTACCATATCCAATACATTTTAGATACCATTTGACTTTCTTTCAAAAAGTAATGCATGCAAGGGGCCGGGGAGATGGCTCAGTGGAATAAGTGCTTCCCTGGCAAGTGCAAGGGCCTGAGTTCAATCCCAAGTTCTGAAAAAAAAAAAGTAATGCATGCAATCAGTAATCCTTGCTCAATAGGATGGGGCAGGGCATAGATACTCTTGCATTAGCAGTTCTATGATAACACACAGGGTATTTTCACTTCCCTGAATTAAACAAGGTAAATGAAGCAGAAAAAAAAGGAGCAAAGGGAACTATATGGGATGGCAGAGCAGAGAGGAGAAGAGAATAGAAAAGATGGGAAGGTTCTACAAGAATAAAAGATAAAAGGGGGAAATATTAAAAAGAAATATAAGAAAGGCAAAAATTTCTAGAATATACAGTTAAGTAGGTCTTCAAAAGTATCCAGACTAACTTCAGAAAGGAAAACTACGGCCTGATAATGGAAGTGATTTGAACAAAGATATCAAGTAAGGAGGGTTATTAAAATAAACAAAAGACATGAGAGACAAAGGAAACATCTAAAAATTGGAAAGGTGAAGATGAAGTCCAGGTCCTAGGTAGGAGACAAAAAACAAAATAAAAAATAAGACAAAAGCCACCATGAAAGGATTGAGCAGCATTACAGGAGGTAGTGAAAGGGAAGCCAGGAATACAAAGCCAAGGAGAGAGGAGAGGAGAGTGAAGAGTGACACTCACCCTCACAAAGCTGGCAGGAAACCATCCCTCCTCATCGTCGATCTGGCCCCACCACCAATCCTTGTTGGAAGCATCCAAGACTTTGATGACGTCGCCAGCCTTAAATGCCAACTCCCGGTTGGCCATGGTGACGTGATCCCATACTGCCTCAGCACTAACGATGGAATCTCCAGTGATCAGCTTAGGAGACAAAATAAGAACGTGTTCAGTCCACACAGCTGGCTATCTTTCTTATTCCTTCCCCCACCCCCAGAGCTCTACTACTTAGGGAAAATCTCATACATGTTAGCAGTAGGGATTGAGGTAAGGGGAATGGCACTACAGTACAAGCTCTGTTGGACCACATGATAATACTGTCAACTCTCCATTAGCCAATGTACAGAATGATCCAATATGTGAATATGGACAATACATGTGTTATAATCTCCCACTCTATTTCATCTCTCTTTGCTGTGTGGTGAGAGCTCTGAGTCTGGAATCTTCCCAACATGAAATCAATAGTTAAAATGAGATTCACACATATTAGCATTCAATTGTCTGTGCTCTTTATCCTTTCGATCTTCTTGTGACTGACCAATTGAGAGTTGATGGTAGCCCACTGCACGTTTCTCTCTGGAGTAACAGACCATGACACTCCTGACACATAATAGACCCCAACACTACAGTCTCCTGCCCTCACTCACACATGATACAACCCAGAAAGTTCATGAGTATGAAAAAGTATTTTTTCTGTGATACTCTATAACCAAGAAACTCAACTTAGGTATAGATTAATTCAGTCCTGGGCATCTACTGTTTTTTCTTGTACCAGGACTCAAACTCAGGACCTTGTGTTTGCCAGACCAGTGTTTATGCCACCAAGCTATCTTACTAGCTCTAATTTGGTGCTCTGTACAAACACACTGTAAGATACAAAAAGGGTTTAAGTTGAATTCTGCATTTGATAGATGTCAAAAATTGACAGTAAAGAAGTTGAGGGATGAGCTAAAGATCACCCAGCAAGGAAAAGGCTGTGTATGCACCCTAACCCAGATCATTAAACTTTATGGAGTGCAAGACCATTCTGCAAACAATAATAGAGAACATCTATCCTCCCACCACATAAACAAAAACACATATCCATGATACTCATCTAAGTACAGTGATAAGGATGGGGGATAGGGGTAGTCTGGCTCTCTCTGGCTGTCATCCTGACCATTATTCTTTGTTTACTTTTTCACTCAACTCTTCCAGCCTTGGATCACTAGTCTTTCCAGCATCTGGGAAAACACACGTTAGAATAGAGAACATACACCCTGTCAGGCAGAGAGTGAAGCACTCTCTGCCCAGCCCTAAATTCTAGAATATGTCCTTTAAGTTTTTCTATCACTCTTCTTTGAGAAAGGACTGATTCCCCAAAGTAGTCATGGAACTTTAAGACTGAAGGCAAAACAGTTTAAAGACAACAGACATTATATAGGAATATGTATCTCCTCCCATGGATCCGTACTCATTCATTCATTCATGGGATGAGTTCACAACAATCACACACATATGAACACATATCTAATTATAACATTTTCACTTAAAGCATACTTTTCATCAGATCCTAATTAAAAC